ACATATATTTATTTTTTTATATAGGATATTCCTCCAAAATCTTTAAAATACATATCTCCCTTAATTTTTATAACAAATTTAGGAAATAAGCATGGTTCTTATTACCCCTATTTTACAAATGAGGAAGCTGTCTACAGTCACACAGCTAATAAGTCTGACATTAGAATCTTACTGCATATTCGGTGAACATATGAAGAAAGAAATTAATTACTTGATAGAGAAACACAGACAGACATACACAACAGCAAATCTGCACACTGACTGAGTTTTTATCCTGCTTTAGATACTTCTCTTCCAAAGCTGTGTGAAAAGTGAGAAAGAGTCCAAGCATGCTTTTAATTATAATTTAGGAGTAGGGGAAAACTTAGTTCTCATATAAGGCTGGATATTAAAATGTTGGTTCCTGGTTCCAACCCCACAGTTTTTGAATTAGAACCCCTGTGCGTGGGGCCTAGAATTAAACTTTTTTTTTGTTTTAAGTTTCTCAGACAATTCACATGATCAACAAGGTATGGGAACCATTGGATTCCACTGCTTATGGTTAGGATATGATGAGCTTTGGGCTCCACAGGAAGGTCAGGGAGAGAGGATGAATAGACACAGAGATGTATCTATGGATAACAGCACCTACGGCAAGCACTGAAATTGCACCCCTATCCAAACATCTGACACACATCTTTTAGATAATTTTACCATAGTATTGACTCAAAACTGCAAGTGGAACTTGTTAATGTTTTACATAACACATTATGGCACTACATGAAAATAACAACTGTACCTTCCTTGTTTTCACTGATAAAAATGGATCTGTGATGTATTCAAAATTATTTTCCTCAGTTCTACTTCTACACTCAACAAAGATCACACAATCTGCCTCAACTCATAGAGTTATTTGAAATATGAAAGTATTAGTTTTAACTTGAATTATCTCTCACATCTGGCAATGGGAACTGTAATGGTTAACGGAAATTTGGTGTCCCTCTTTAAATGGTGGCAGAGCATATGCCATACCTGGTATACCTTGGATACACCTCTGCATAGACATATAGGTTTTAAAGTCAGAGAGAACTGTGCAGAATTTCAACTGTGCCATTGGGCAAATTGCTTGATGTTTTGAAAGTCTCAGTGCTTTTTTCTACAAAGTGGGGATAATAATAACTCATGTCTCATAGAGGATTATGGAGATTAAATAAAAGTCCTCCTGGATGGTACAGTGTCTGACACCTAAGAAGCATTCTATACATATTAGCATTTTTGAAGTGAGAAAGCATTTGAGGTCAGGAAGGAGATAGAGTTTGGATTGGCAGTATGTCTTATTCTTTCAGGTTAATTTATCTATCTTAAATTATCTTATTCCAGAATAACTTTGTGTTTGCTTCCTCCCACACTGACCTTAAGCTCAGAGAAATCTTATCCTGCTTACAATGTCCTTTCCATGTGGGGGAGAGCAAACATTTTTAAAAGTTACTTATTTATTTATTTTTAAAAAGTCTCTGTGCTATTTTTATTTCAAATATGACAACTTAAATATCCCCTTTGTGTCAAGTCTAGAATGCATATGTACCAAATACAATTGTTTTAGTCGGGAATATTGAAAGCAAGTATTGTCTATTTAAAATAAGAAATTTTCGACACATGATGTGATTATGTCATGGTACTAGCAATCATGTAATACACAATACAAAGTAGAGTTTATAAATCTGGTTGTAAATGTAATCCTAATGAGTAAACCAACTTGACCCTGTTGGGGAAAAGCTGAAGTGCTAATCCAATCACTAATCCAGTCTTTAGTGTCATGAAGTTTAACGCTCCTGTATTTCCTTGGTAGGTAATAATGAGGCTGGATAATGCATGTTTTTATTTACATATTCAATAATACAATGCTGTTCAGTGAACGGTGTTCTTCTGCCACTTGGTGGTGCTTGCCAGTTTCAGAATTTGTTTCTGGGTGGCACTATAACACTAAGTATGAAGTAATCAGAACAAAATCACAGCATTCCTATTGGAAAGACTGTACTTCAAACTGTTTAATAAATTAAAGAACCTCTGTGGAAGCCACTGCATTTGTTAACCAGTCTCAACCAGTAATTAACTCCTTTGGAGTTTAAAGTCACTTTAGGCAAAATGTCTTAGGAAGAGTACATATTATTACAAAGCATGCCAAAAATTTACTTAGCAGAGAATTCAATAAGAATTTTACTCTGCTAAGTGGTTCCGAAGGAGCTCTGGTGGCATAGTGCCTAAGACATTTGACTGCTATCCAGAAAGCTGGCAGTTCAAACCCTCCCACTCCTCGGGAGGAAGGTTGGACAATTTACTTCCTCAGTGATACTGCCTTAGAAACCCAAGGAAGGGTCGCTATGAGTTCCATCCGACTTCATGGCAGTGCGTTTGGGTTGGTTTAAGAGGTTCTGTAAAATTCTACTTATATATCCAAGCACGGAAATCCTAGCATGTCGGTTACATTATCATAATTACTACGTAAACACTTTTAAGGACTTTGCCTTTAGTTTCAAGCATGCCTTATTTTCATAAGCCTCGTTAGTTACCATACCAGCCCTGCTATGGAAAATGACATATCCTCACACTGTACTGTGGAGCTGTTAAATCTTGATCTATATTAAGCTTATATTCATGTTGCAGTCTTTGCTGAAAGGCTGCGGTGAAAGACCTCTCTGACTCCTCAGTTTTTGCAGTATCTTCTGGCCGCTCCAGCTAATGGGCATTCCTTTTCTTTAAAGAATTTAGCTGCTCTATCTAGAAGCCGATTTTCTGATGCCTCCAACGTCTGGTCAAATTGATCTGTTTTAATGGAGTCTTCGTTGGGTGAAGAGGGAGATGCCACATACTAGAATGCTGGGATCGGATGCTTAATTGTCAGGAGTGAGAGACACTGATTCTGGAATCTTTGGAGGAGAGGGGGGAATGGGGGCGGAGGCCAAGATAAAGGGATGGGTTTCACAAGGGGCGGGGGGAAGATTTCTGTTAGGTAGGCACTGAGGTGCTGCACGATATTGTCTCTCAAAGAAGTTAAAAAGCAAGGAAGTGGGAGGAGGTTGAGGTTAAGGTACTTAAAAGGATAGCTCAGGCACAATTTGTTTTTCCCTTGGTACTTGCGAAAGATAGATCTTCCCCGTTTTCAAAGTGTATTGTTGTTTTTTTTTTTTTTTTAATAAAAAAAAAAACAATTGGAAATGGACACTAATTGCTTGTGAGATGCTTTTAAAGAACGCTCCTCTAAATTCAGGGGACATGGAAGGAGAGGGGATAAGATGAGACTCGAGGAACAAGAAAAAGAGAGCAGACGGGTCTTAGAAAGGGGAGAAAGGAAAACTGAAGAGAGAAACGGAAGAGGGAGGATGGGGAAAGAAGGAAATGAAGGAGGAGGAAGGGAAGAAGGAAACTATGGGAAGAGAAAGGAAGGGAAAGAAAGAAAAAAGAAGGGGAAAAGGGATAAGGAAGAAGGAAGGAAGGGATTGAAGGAGAGAGTGAATTAGTACCTAAAAAAAGAAAGAAAGAAAGAAAGAAACTCTTTTCTTGTAGGTCATCCAAAATACTGCGACTGCAATAACGACCCGTGTCACAGGAGAAAGGTGCTTCTCGCCCTGGTGTCCAGGAAAGCTCTAGGTCCCGTTACTAGCGACTGAAATACCATTAGGCTAGAGGGTGCGTAACTGCGTGAAGAATGCAGCAGACGGAACGCAGGTACGGCTGCGCCTTTTGCCAAGCGTCCAATGGAGTGGAAAAAAAAAAAAAAAAAAACCACGCAGAGCGAGAGCCGAGTCAGCCCTCTCGCCTCGCCCAGGTCACTGACAACCGGGCATAGTCTCGCATCCAGCGCCTGGAGTGAATACCGAGCTGGTTGGTCCAAGTGAGCCCGCACTTCTTGGAGGCCACTCCCGGACTAATGCGCCCGGCCACCTATCCGTCGCTTAGGGATATTCCCTTCCTCCCTCAAGCCGCCAAACCAAAAACAAAACTCACTGCCGGGGAGTCGACCCGACTCATAGAGACCCCTCCTTGGGTTTCCGAGGCAGTATCGCTAGGAAGTAGATTGCCCAATCTTCCTTCTGGTGGGTTTGAACCACCAGTTTTCTGGTTAGCAGCCAAATGCCTTAGGCACTAACATTCAAATCATGTTTGCTGGCACCTTCCAGGCGGCGGCACAAATAGGCTTCTGGCTGGAGATGAGCTTGTGATGGGAGAGAGCTTCAAACGTTCGGCTTCTTGGGCTAGGCCGGTGCTGCAGGGAGCCAGAGAGGGGTGAGGGGAGAGAGAGAAGGAAACGGAGAGAGAACGCGGAAGGTTGTCGGACCGGCCTCGGGTGCAACTGCAGGGTTGCAGGCTCCTGAGGGAATTCTGCTGCGTCCAGACCCGCCCGAGCTGTTCTCACGACGCTCATCCTCTCCACAGCCCTGGTGCTCCCGAGAAACGCGTCCCTAGGCTCTCCTTGCTGCGCTATTGCCAGACTCTATCCCGTTACCAACCCAAGAACAGCTTCGCAAGCCTGAGCGCTGGGCGCCAGCAAGACGCCCTCTCCACTCCGCCTGCTCTCTCCTCTTTGCCCTGCTGCTACCGTTCTTCGGTCACCTCCACCCCCACCCTCTCCATCTCTGAGAGACGCCACCCAGCCGCGGCGGGCGCTCGCAGCCCGAGGTCACGCACCGAAGAAGGGCGCTAGTCCGGACCCAGCGCTCGGTAGGGGGCGTCCCCAGAAAAAGAGTGAAAAAGCCGATGGTGGAGAAGAGCGTGGGCTTGCCCACGTCGAAGGCCGCGCTTCTCACTTGAGCCAACCCCTCGAACCCTATTCGGGCCAGCGCCTGGCGAGCTAGCCCATCTGTGGCATCCACCGCCGCCTCCTCCTTGCACCTCCTCGTCGACCCCTCCCTCCCGGGACCTGCATCCCGCTCCACCAATCAGAGCCCGTCTGCCTCTTCCCACGTGACCTCGGGCGGGCTAAGGACCTGCTGCTTCCCAAACGCCAGAGCGATGCGGGAGGCAGAGCGCGATAGGCGGCTGCTAGGCTGCAGGGCGCTTCGACTCTCTTGACTCTCCCTGCACCCTTCTTGCTCAGGCTCCTCTCCTGTGCCCTCGGACTTCCAGTCTCTTGCTCCTCCGGCTTCCAAAGCCCCCTCCCTATGGCAGCAGCCTCCCCTGTCTTTGGTGCTGCTCCTCCGAGGACCACCATCTCACTCCCGGGACTGAGCTGGGTCACTGGATGTTGTTGAAACTCCGGGGATCATGCGTCGGCTTGGCTGCTGCTTCCCCGCCTGGTGCCTCCGCTGCTGCCACCACCGCTGCTGCCGCTGTCCGCGGGATGCTCAGTAGTCTGCTGCCGGGCCCCTGCGATCCTGTGCTCTTTGGAAACCGTTTGCTGCTGCAGAGTTGCGCGAACTAGTCATGGTGCTGTGGGAGTCCCCGCGGCAGGGCAGCAGCTGGACACTTTGCGAGGGCTTTTGCTGGCTGCTGCTGCTGCCGGTGATGCTGCTCATGGTAGTCCGACCGGTGAAGCTAGCAGCTTTCCCTACCTCCTTAAGTGACTGCCAAACGCCCACCGGCTGGAACTGCTCCGGTAAGCCCAGAACCTTAGCCCACGGCCCTTCAACACCCCCCACCCCCCACCCAGAATAACCCGCTTGTGCAGCACAGACCAACCTGCCCGGGAGCGTCTCCTCCGCCCCTTCCTCTAACAGACCTCTGAGTGCCACCCCCTTCCGCCCCTCTTTACTCGCTGGAGCCCGGGGAACTGCTCCAGGCCGCTCCGGAAGCGGCGGGAGTAAGGGCGGGGGTGGGTGGGAGGGACTGTCGGGTGGGAGGAAAGTGCAGGTGTAGGAACCTTTGAAGCCTTGCACTTACATTGGAGCTTTGGCAAAGACTTAAGAAAAATATTAAACAGGATGGTTTCGTGGCTTCCCTATCCTTAGGGAAACACTGCAACAGAGCCTTTCCCATCATTAAAGAAAAAAGTCTGACTAGAACGGAAGAGAAATAACTTCATGAGACAGAACTAGCGTGAAAGCAATAAATCAAATTGTGGCTGCAGAGGAAATGCTGATTCCTGACAAAAATGCTGCGAAGAGGAACTGGTCTAGGATTCAAGACCTGGTCATAGACATTCTGAACAGAGCATGGGTTTTGACAGAATCAATCTCTCTCTCTCTCTCTCTCTCTCTCTCTCCCCTTTATCTTCCTTCTCTTGTCTTTGCCAAAGACACTTTTACAGTCCAGGGATGCCGCACTCTGCTTCCCCCAGCTCAAAGATGGTAGAGGAGAGTTGAGAAAAGAACCCTTAGCCTCTCCCAGACCAGGGTGGGCATGACCAGAGCCCAGTAGTCTCCGGTAGAAGGCAGTATCCACCCGGGTGGGTGCTGACTTCTCCATTTCTGGGGCGCTTCGACGGAGTGAGTGGATATGGAGCTCTTCTTGCTCCCTTGGGTCCCTTCAGAGTCTGAAACTGGAGAGCTTGGCAAGCTTCGCTGTGCTGAAGCCTCCTAATTAAATAGGAACCAAGGACGGGAGTTGCTGCACTCCTTCGAACTGGCTTCTCATTTCAGTATGACAGCCTGTAGTATACCTGGTGGGTTTGTGGTGGGATTACCATGGTTGGATATTGCCCCTTAGGTCTGATCCGTTCTACTTCTAACAAGTGTATGTGCAATTTTTTATCATTGTAAATATAATTATGCTGTAGTTAAATCTACTACTGAATAAAGTGGCTTCCAGGGACGTATATGAGCAAAATTGAAGAGTATATAACTTCAGACAGGAGGGGAAGACCAATTGTAACTTGCTGGATGAAAGAATATATAGTTCTGGGTTATTACTAGTGTAAAGCCCAAGAAAAAAAAAATATTGTGTATCATTGTAGTTTATCCTAACTGGAGACAAGTTGGAATTGTGTCCCTATTTGATTAGGGTCAATAGATAACCTTTGTTCTGTTTTTGGCAACTTTTAAATTTGGCATTTTTATAAAACTCAACATATTCTTTAAGTTATTTTTACATATTTGTGATTCTGGGAGGAATCCACAAATTCTACTTTGTAGATGCCTAATCACTTTTTAGGGACATTATTATAAGAACACAAAATAACCTACAAATTCAATTGCTTGAAATGTTGATGGCTCTGGAATCCAACATGATCTGTTTGCTTCAACACTATTGTTTTAAGAAAGCAACTAAAATGTGAGATTGGAATAAGCTATCAAGAAATTCGTTGATTCATCATTATCCAAATATCTTAATGGGATCTGGAGAAACAATTAAAAAAAAAATAAAGGATTTCTAGGCAGGTTGTCAAGAAGCTGGCACCCCCTCCCAACCCTGTTAACTTAGAGGTGATCAATCTTCACTTGAGCCAGACAGACCATCACAGAAAACACTGTGCCTGTTTATCTTTATTATTGGGGCTTTGTTTCCTCTTTGTCTGAAGAAATTCCAAATAAGGGGTTGTTTCAACCTTAAAGCAAAAATAATGATTAAAGATGAAGAAATGGTAACAATTGCATTCAAAGACCATCATCAGCTCTTTTCCAAAATGTGGACTTTTGGTAAATATACATACATACATATTCCCTTAAATGAGAAAAAATAAGGAAGCAAGTGTTAAACCTTTGTTCACCACTATCACTATTAACCCAAACTAGAATAAAACTACACTATTAAAAACAAAAACAAAACCAAGCCCACTGTCATTAAGTCAATTCTGACTCATGCTGACTTCCATTGGATTTGAGGTGGTAAATCTTTATGGAAGTAGATTGCCTAGTCTTCTTTCCATGGAGTGGCTGGTGGTTTTGAACTGCCAGCCTTCTGGTTAGCAGTCAAATGCCTTAGGCACTTTGCTGCCAGAGCTCCTTACCCTGTCAAAAAAGCATAGTAAAAGAGAACTTCCTAGAAAAGAACTGGGAAAAATAGAAATCAATACTGATCACTTAACTAGATTTTGAGGTTATTGGTAGAGAGTGACCTTGCAGTACAGCTGTGCTTATTGGAATTGAAATTTTGGGCAATTCTTCTGAAGCTTTAAGATGATGCTTTAAAAAAAAAAAAAAGTACAACATTATTGTTGCTTTTTGAATGACTGGAGTACTTTCTTTTTAAATTTGAGGTTATGATGACAGAGAAAATGATCTCTTCCTCTGTGACACCAACACCTGTAAATTTGATGGAGAGTGTTTAAGAATTGGAGACACTGTGACTTGCGTTTGTCAGTTCAAGGTAAGCAGTCTGATATGTACATCTTCTAATTTATTAGCAGCTACAAAGCAGTAGCAGATCCCCCTTTATAGCCCATCATTTGGCAATATATACAAGCTAAGGGAAAAGCTGGCACCAAGTAAAACTATTGGTAAGAGAGCCAACTGATGACAAGAAAACATACACTTCCTGGTGAAATGTATATGCCATAGTTATAAGTGCCACTGGAGGTAGAAAGCTTCAGGTTGTGCTTTTAGGATATTAAAGGAAAATTATGTTTCTGTGCCCCTTCTAGCACTCATTTTATAAGTCTACTGATGGGAAAAAAGTCAAAATGGTCAGGGGATAAGAAGGTTGGTTTTCACTTATGTTCTTTGTGTTTGCAACTATTGTCTTTTCATTTATTATGCTAGACTTTAATGTCCTTGAAATTCATTGTCCTGGCACTCAGGTTAAGTTTTTTAATTAACTCCTTATCAATGTGCTTCCAAACTATTGTACTAGTTTGCAAATTGTGTACCATAAAAAGTATGTCAACCTCTGCATTGGTGCCACATTCAATTGAAATAGAATTTCCTGGGTATCCAAAGAATGCATATAGCCACAAGTCATTTCATGAATTTGAGAAATATGCACATTGCCTAGTACTAAAGTAAAGAAATGTAGTTCTTGCCCTGGTATCAACAAAATTATTAATATCAAATAAATGTTGATGTTATTATTGTTGTTGTTATGTGCCGTCGAGTCGGCCCCGACTCATAGTGACCCCTCCTTGGGTTTCCGAGGCAGTATCACTGCGGAAGTAGGATTGCCCAACCTTCCTTCCGAGGAGTGGCTGGTGGGTTTGAACCGCCAGCCTTCTGGTTAGCAGTCAAGTGCTTTAGCCACTATGCTACCAGAGCTCCTATTTATTAGTATATACCAAATGATTTTCACATGTGAATAATAAAATGTCTTTTCCTCTCAAAATTTTCATATAGTCATGTATAAGTTCAGATAGCATAGGTGCTGTGTACTTACTGCCTTTATTTACTGCTGAGTGTTTTTGAATGATTTTCTTTTTAATTTACTGGAAGTCTAACCTAAGATTCAAAAACAAAATGTGTACCTAAACAAAACTAAGTATTTGAGATCAGCAAGAAAAATTTTCCAAGACTATAATCAAAACCAAGAGAAAAGCAAAGGATAGAAAACAAATAAAAACATTAAACTTAAATTTATTGGCCTAAATAACTGGTGAAATATGTCATATTTAGAATTACTTGATGAAATTTAAGTATTTTAAAATTGAATTCAACCATCCCATGAGAGATGGGAATTCACATCTAAATAAAGCTTACATGGCTTTTAGATAAGCTAAAATCTTCTTAGACATTATTTCCTTCTTCTAGTAAAACATAATAAAATAACTGATATTTGTAAAGCCCACAACTTCTGGTGGGTAAGTATTGCTATCACCATACAATAGTCTTTTACACCATCCTCTACCCATTCCTCACTAATCGACTGGGTTAGGTTCCAAAGACCATGTCATGTCATCGAAGGAAAATTGCAATTGTGCAAATATGGATGATGACCACATCAGATCACAAAATGGAGGATAACTATATCATTATGTAACTGCCAAATTACATCGTTACATAACAGCCATACTACTGAGAACGTTGACTCATAACTTAGCCATCACAACCAGTATTACTCTTGCCTGGCACCTCAGCATTCCTTATGTATGTTATTAATGCACAAAATAGTAGATTTTTTTTTACTACTGTCATAAATGCAAAATGTCAGATAATGAGACAGTCGATAAGTGAAGAGTAGGTGTATAGTGTAAGAAACATATTCATGAATATTTAATAAGCACGTGACATCAATTTCTAAGATCTCTAGCTGCAATAAACAATTTAATCATGTTCTTTTAATGAACTACACAAGAAAGATGGAGCATGACAATTTTTAAATTCATACTTCTCTCAAAGGTTCTGAAGTAAAGAGCAAAAACAGTTGGCTAAATTAGTAATTAAAAGCCACAGGGTTTTAAAGTTGTTTTCCTCCTTTGAGATTGTGATTCACATATATACATATATAATATATACACACACACACACACACACACACACACACGCATACATACATACATACATATATAGCTCTATCTATCTATCTACTTATCTATATTTTTTTTCTTGTTTTGGTAACCAAGGTGAACTGAGGAAATGTACTCCTAAATAATACAAAATGGAGCAGGAAGAATGTTTCTCAAGTGGAAAGTTATACTTCTAAGATTTCACCAAGAAGGAAAAAGGAGTTAATAGAACTCTAAATGAATGAAAGTTACTAAAATCAAACATACGATGTTTCTTTATTAAAAGAAGTATGTTGGGGTTTCAAGTGCCACAGGAGTTTGATAAAACTTTTATCAACAAAGATATTTGTGTTTTTCATGTTCTTGTCAGTCAATTACATTTGTCATTACTTAAATATTTTTGAATGGAATAGGTTTGGAAGGGAGGGCTATGAAGAGAAGCTTGATTAAGAAACTACAATGTAAATTTGCTTTCTAATTCTTGCAGTATTTCAAGTTTGCTACTAGATTACTACTGCTATTAGTTTGAGCTTTGTCACAGGAGAAAAGAAACATCTTCCTAGTAGAAAATTTAGACACTACTAACACCACAAATATAGAGTCGGTAAATTAGGTAGAATATGAAAGAAAAAGTACAAGTTATGCAGAGAATAATAGTATATTTTATGCAAGGAGTTACTTGATTTAGTGATTTCTCCGTATTCCTTACCAGCATAAGACTTCTCATGAATTTGAGGTTTTTTTTTTTCTTGTTTTTATTTCCAAGTATCTGATTAAAGGGAGAAATCCTGAATATATATTTTCCTTGATACTATTCTAAATAATTTCTGGCTGTGTTAATCTATTCTCTGTTTTTCTGCATTTTAAGATACAAGCACAAATTCTTCCTTTTGAAGTATGATACAAACTATAATCTTTCTGTCTGAGAGATGAATTTCAAGGAGAAATAGCTTTATGTGTGTGTAATCTATGCTTTCAAATTAGGGTTTATTGGAGCACCAAAATGAATATATATTAGCCTCCATCTCACTTAGATAATTTGAAATAAACTAATGTCTACCCTTTAATTTGTTACATGTTTTATTTCTCACAACTTACTGAGATAATTATTTTCTCCTCTTTTTAAAGATGAAGAAATTAAGGCCCATAAATGTGAAGTAACTTACCATTAAATGGTGATCCTAGAGTAAGAACCTAGGTCCCTTGATATTAAATACTCTTGTTTTCCGTTTAAGACATTATATATGCAAATCAAGACATCAGTAACAACAACAAAAATACCAAATTCTTATAGTCAACTTAGTATCAGAAGCAATATAAAAAACTCTTATGTAATGATATGAATTTTAAAAATGGTCTGTGACCTTATGCATCCTATTTGCATACCAAATGGGATGCTGGTCAATCTGGCGAGAGAAATCAATTGTGGAGCTGAAAGTTTAGAAACAATTGATGGATGGATGGATGGATGGATTGATGGGTGAATGGATGGAAGTGAGGGAAAAGGGAGGGAGGGAGGAAGAAATAAAAGGAAAGAAAAGAAGACATAAGTTTAGTTATTCATGGACACACTGGCGGTACATACAATGATCAATGATGACTTTAAATTTTAAAAAAATGTAATGAAGCCTTATGTTTTTCAGATATCAATTAATTCAGTATTAGTTGTTTTCATTTAGTAAGCTAGGCTTTAGCTTGGTAATTGTTCCAATTATTAGGGGTGAAGTTATTAGATGCCCAGAACTTAGTGGCTTCAAACAATGAATTTTTATTTTGCTTATGAATCTGCTGTTTGGACCGGGTTTCATGGTGACAGCTCACCTCTGCTCCACTGAGGTTAAGAGTACGAGGGGAAGGGTAAAGCCTTGATGTTATAATCACCTGAAAGCTCTTGGTTCTTCTCCTTGTGGGTCTGTCCACATGGGGTACTTAGGGCTTCTTCATAACACAGTGGCTAGCTTCTAATAATGCACATCAAGAGATAGTACACCACACAGAAACTGTGTCTTTTAATCACCTGGTCTTGGAAGTCACATAGTCACTTCTGCCATACTCATGGTCCTGCCATATTTTTAAAACTGTAAAATTTTTATATTTAAGGAAATGTGGCCAAAGAGAAGTAAAAGTTACTATGGAGTGGGTAAAGAATTGGGACATATGCAGATATTTTATCTTTTTTTATTTTTGGATAAAAGAATATACCATATCCAATCCATTCTTTCTAAGCCTTTGACAACTGGGAATATAACAGAATTCACTTAACATCTGTTGAACACCTTCTACATGCCAGACTCTGTGGAAGGTGCTGGCAGTATATGAAACATAAGTTTTACATAGTGTGTAGCTGTTGAAATCTCAGCTAAAAAAAAAAAAAAAAAAAACTTTATTAACCAAATAAGCAATAAATCATATGAAAAATCTTCTCTTCACATACATTTTTGTTCATTTGTAGCAAAATGAATTCCATATATTCTAGTGTGTCAAGTCATTGAATCTACTAGCATAGCATGTAGTTGCTTTCCTTAAGCAATGTGAAAATTTTGGAACAAAATCATTCTACAGATTTTTAAAACATCTCAAGAAAAATAGACTCTCTTTTTCCCTTAGGAGGAAGTTAGTACAACACATGCATTTATGGACCTAACCATCTGGACTTGGGTCTTGTTTTTTTCTCTTACCAGCCAGCTACGTGGCCTCTAGCAAATCACTTAACATCTGAGGATGTCCCTTTATCTGAAGCTGAGCAGTATAACGATAAACACTAAAAACTATTTTCAATAATTTGACATATTTTAAGGTAGCAGTTAGCCTATTTTCATGTTCAGGGTTACACTGTTTTACTTTTAGAAATGTCAGGTTTGAGTGTCAATGATAGATGTGATTCTGCTAGTTAACATTTGTGTCATGAAAGGCAAATAATTTATATTTTTTAAAAGTGATATTTCAAAGTGTTCTAAAAATAGGACTCTGTTAATTCCCCTAGAATGCCCCAGTTAGACATTTCAAATGGGGAAACTGAGCTAAAACCTTGTTCAGTACTTAATTGTTGAGTTATATGCACAAGCTTCTACACCAAGGCAGTAAGAGAAATGGGAGGGCCTAGGACCAAACTCCTACTCCTAAATTTTAATGATTTTGTGTGCTTCCTTCTTGTGTTACTAATATTAATGAGTACAAGTCATGGAGTTAAGGGCCAGAAACGTTGGGCTGGTAATCGACAGTAAATCTCTTTTCAGCTCCATACAAATCTCCCTTTTGGCTTGTGCATGGAACTTGGCAGCTCTGTTTTTAGCACTGTTCACATTTGGCTTCTGCATCTTTCTGAAGTGGCATACGAGCACTTTATCGGTTTATTCGATATTTTAAGATGCGTATCAGCTTTGTGTACTAGCACTTTGACAGAAATTATAAATACTTCCCACCCCCACTCAGTGTCCACTGACTCGGCAGTTGAGTAAACTGCAGAAGGGGATGAGAAGAATAAATACATAACTCTAGAGATTGGAGGGAAGAAAGAAAACATGGAAAAAATAAAAAAATAAAAAAACTCCACACAAAGTATTGTAACCAGGATTGAAGATGAAGTTTAAAAGATCCAAGAGTGCTAGGTCCTAAGCATGAAAACCTAAATAGTCTAACTGGTCACACCAATTATGACTCTCTACTGCCTACTGAAAGAGTCGGCAAGTCTATTGACTATAATGCTACCAGCTATTTCCTCCTTTCTTTCTTGTCTCTCCTCCACATGGCCAAGATACTATGATAGTCTTAGTAAGTCTTCATAAATCCTACCTATACCAGCCCTTAAGGAGTTCTGTTAGTGCAGTGGTTAAGTCATTTGGCTGCTAAGCAAAAGGTCGATAGTATTTGACTGCTAACCAGAGGGCTGGAAGTTCAAACCCACCAGCTACTCCTCAGAAGGAAGATTGGGCAATGTACTTCCATAGTGATACTACCTCGGAAACCCAAGGAGGGGTCACTATGACTCGGATCCAAGTCAAAGGCAGTGAGGTTGTTTTTTTTTGTTGTTGTTGTTGTAGTCCTTGATCCTGAACACAGTGCATTTATCAAACACCTATCCATCCACCACCTCCTTGGCTTTGGTTAAGACTTGAGCAACAATCCTGTTTATTTGGTGTCTCCCCATTATTGTTTATTGGAAAATTCAACTCTTGACTGACCTTTTGCTATTGCCTTCTTTCTTGAGTAATGGCTGAGATACTCAGTCTTCAAGTAGGACAGTTTTCAAATGTAAACTAAAAAAAAAAAATTTGGAGAACTTGTAGAAAACAGAGCCGTAATGCAGATTCCACAAGATTACAAGTAACTTGCCTATTAAATTAAGGATCTTCCTTAAGAAAAAGCTCTAATAAAATTAATTTTTAAAAAATATAATCACAGAAATAGAGTGAGTCTGGGAACAAATAGTGCAATTGTAGAAAGGAATTATCTTACATAAGCCTTCTAAAATGTCTATATTGTAAACCACAGAAATAAATATAAAGATTTTTTAAATGTGTGCTAAATCATAATGTAGCAATTACAGTTGTCATAATACGAGTATGGTAAACTGTTTGGAGAAATGTTGATCATTATTAGTAAAATCTTATAATATTTTAAGTTTTTTTTTTTCTATAATAGATAATAAGAAGACTCATGAAACCACACTTTCATTTCAGGGAATATTGGTTTATGCCATTTATAATTGTTAGTATAAATAACCCATTATTATGTAAAGGAAAATAATAAGAGTTAAATGGTTGATTGGAAAGGTTTTAGTTGTCTACTGCTGCCATGTCTTTATTACCTGTTGCTATTGTAACACAAATGCCACAAGTGGGTGGCTTTAAAGGATAGAAATTTATTTCTCCCCGTTCTGGAAATTTAGAAGTATAATTCAGGGTTTTGGTCCTGTCAATTCCTTCCTTCTTAGTAGTGCTGGGTATTCCTTAGGGATCTTCACATGACATCTATATTCTCCTGTGTATGTATGCATCTCTGCCTATAGTGCTCTTTTATAATTCAGAAGTGATTAGGCTTAGGACACACCCTACCCTGATATTACCTTATTAACATAACAAAAAACCTGTTTCCAAACAAAAATACATCCATAGATATAGGAGTTAGGATTCCAACACATACATTACTGGGATGCAATTTAATCTATAACATGCCCCGACAAATGTATCAGGACAGGGTGGCATTAAAAAACAGGAATGTACTGTCTCATAGTTTGAAGGCTGGAAGTCCAACTCAAGGCATCAGCTCTTGGAAAGGGTCTTTCGTTGTAGGTGGCCCTAGGGGTTTCTTGGCTTTCCTTGGCTTGTAGATGGGACTCACAAATGTCTTGCCCTGTGTGTGTGTGTCCTCCCCACCACCCCATGCCCTACCCCCATCTGATTTCCTTCTGATAAGACTCTTCTCAGAAGGGATTAGGTTTAGGAACTACCCCACTCCTGTATGACCTCACTTACAAGACAAAATGAAAATCTTATTTCCAAACAGGTTCACATTCACAGGGATTTAGGATTTCAACATCTCTTTGGGGGACACAATTCAATCTGTAGCAGCGATCATTCAGGCTTTGTAAGAAAACACAGTAAAAACAAATTTTAGGATTTCTTTAATCAGTCAGATGATCAGGTTTTCAAGGGTTTACTTTTTTTTTCTTTAAATAAACTCTTGAGTTGAAGTTTACATGTGATAGAGTTTTAGGTTTATTATCATGTATACTAAAACATCCCCAGCCACCTCACTAGATAGTTGATTTGTTTTGTATGTGTTATGAAATTACAGCACATCAAAAATCCAAATAGTTTAATAAAAAGTTGAAACAGTATTTTCACGTATCTATGCATGAATGATTTTCTTCACTTAATTTCTGGAAGAGGTGAGTGTTTATAAATAATCATCTTGATCATAACATTTGTTATCATTAAACAGTGAAGCACATCAGTAGTAGTAATCATGAGATAATCACTTTGCTGGCATAATTAGCAGGTATTGGACACAGCCAAGTATCTCAATGCCTCAGAGTGTGATTATCTTATGATGGCTATACCCAGTCGGTTGCCTAATTTCCATTGTAAAATGTGTACTCTTTTTGTAATAATGTTGTTTTAAAAACAAACATTTTTTTTTTTACAAAATATATAATCTTCATACTTTGAAATAGTCAAGAAAGTTTATGTAAAGTTCACTGCTTACTGACTTTTTTATTCTGTAATACATAATGCGTTGTTTCTCTGTACACTTTGTCTTCATAACTGTCCAATGGTCTAAAAAATATGAAAAATCAATTATTCTACCAAATGTCTTATCCAAATATTTGGATATTTGTTAAGATTAAAATTCAGTAAAGAAAAAAATGTACTAAGAAGTAACTGATTTTTGGCATTTCTGCTACATACTTCAGTTCCAAACACAGGTCGACATCAGCTATCTTTGAAGAGCTTGAATGTTGTAGCATGTTTAGATTCACTAACCAAACCAGATAAGCAATATACCAGAAAAACATAGTATTGAATAATATTGATGGGCTTATTGCATTATATTTATCTTGTTTCCTGCCTAATCACTTGCTTAAATTATCTGATCAATTTAGGTGTTTTTCCATCTGAATCAAATGACTAGTTGGCTAACTTGACATTGCCTTTGTGTGTATTTGAATTATGCCCTAACAAGGTCAAAGACTAATTGGATACAATGGGAATTACCAAAAACAAAGACAAGTGCTTTTTTTTGTTTGTTTGTTTTAAATGACAGTTTTTGGTCAGGATGGCAGAGGAAAGTAGAGTCCAGTACTAACCATAAGTTTATGTCTGTGTGTTCCCCAGTGTAACAGTGACTATGTGCCTGTGTGCGGCTCCAATGGGGAGAGCTACCAGAATGAGTGTTACCTGCGGCAGGCTGCATGCAAACAGCAGAGTGAGATACTTGTGGTGTCAGAAGGATCATGTGCCACAGGTATGTATAAAATCTTGTAGACCACCTGAAACTTTCTGAATGGATTCTGGACCATAAGATCATGTTTTACTTTTCTGGTTATGTTACGTTCAGATAAATAATTCACACTATATAATGGCTAGACAAAGTGTGCATTGTGCAAAACATGCATTATTATTATTCTTTGTTCTTTTACATTTCAAATCACTTCTGGAAGAAAGAGGAAATCAACCATAAAGATGTTGGTAGATTTTAATGCATATGATACTTAATGCAATACAGATAGTTGACTAGAAGTCAATTATAATTAAAAATCTAGATTGATTATTCAGGTGTTAATTATATAGAAACTTATGTTTACATAGATAAAGCTTGTTTGCTTGTTTTGAAAAACAGCATTGTCTTCCAAATGCCAACTTTACAGGTTTGGGTTCTGAAGTTAAGATGTAGGTCATCTTAGCAGGTCTACAAAATGCTGTTCTCACCATTTGGCAGATGATATTGAAGAATGTATTAGTGGCAGATATTAAATCTAGTGACATATATCCTTTCTGACATAGTTAATCTAGGATTCTAGAAAGCTTTTTAATTATAATGTATCAAGAATGCTTTACAGAAATTGAGGAAGAAAAGTGACTTGATATGTTCTTCAGTTTTTCAGATTTTCCTTCTGCCTGTAGTGTTTGTTAAAGCCATATAGCAGTAGAGGGAGAAAAGACAGAAAAAAGAAAGTCCAATTTGATAAAGTAACACCTTAAAATGAAGCTAAGTTTTTAGGTTAGGGTTGAAACATCAGAAACTTTTTTGTCCTATGATAGTGCTTCCAATAACAAATATACATATTTCTGCAAAGTCATGATATCTGAGGAATTGAATGATATAACCATTTTCAAGGAAAAAAAATTGATATAAAAAAGAAACTTCTTCTGAAAATGAAAATGAGAAAGGATAGTGCCAAGAAAAGTCTATTCTATGGGAAAGACTCTCTTAGGTAATAGATATGTTTATACTCAAATATGTCACAAGTCCAGTGTTTGATGACTAGGGCAGGCAGGAAATGAGACGCAATGAAGAGAGTCTTTGGACAGGTAGTGCCTAAGGCATTTGACTGCTAACCAGAAGGCTGGTGGTTCAAACCCACCAGCCACTTCTCGGAAGGAAGACTGGGTGATCTACTTCCATAGTGATACCACCTCGGAAACCCAAGGAGGGGTTGCTGTGAGTCGGATCCAACTCGATAGAAGTGAGTGAGGGAAGGAGGAATACCAGCTTGCTACTGCTCATAGCAAAGATGGGGAAAAGAGTAAGAAAAACAAGAAGGAAACTACTTATGAAAAAACAATCTACTGTACTTAGACAAATGGCATAGTAAGAAGAGATAAAGATGGAACCCCTGACTCTCAGAAACAGGAAAGGATCAGGCAAATGCCAGAGAATACGGAGAAAAAAGATTTGCTTATTTGAGATTGTGTAGGACATCTGTCCATCTCTGACAGTAGTCAAATGAGGATCAGCAAGCAATAGTAGTGACAAGTCGTCCTAAGGTTATGGTTATGACTAATGAAGCTTGGTAGCAAAATTTCTCTTCCTTATTTGCCAATTTCCCAATTCTTGTCAGCACATATAATCCCATGCTCCTGACTCATTAAAATCTTTCCATTCTAGTCCCTAATGTGCTGGTTATGCTATGAAAATAATTACTTAGCGAAGTAGAAAATTTAATCACAATTGGGTAATCCATCCTTAGCTCATTCACATACTTAGATTTCTGCAGATTTAATTAGGAAGCCAATGTTGCTGAATGCCTCTTCCATTGACTTGTAAAGCTAAAACGTTTTTGATCTGAATGATGATGGGGGGGCCAAAAGTAATTTTGATTAATCAGCTCTGACTGTAAATAAATTGGAGTTCTGACATTTTATCTAAAAAAGGATACTCAATCTTTTCTTTGTAGTTTTTTCATTTGTTTTTTAATGCTGATGAACACTGAGTGGAGGTTGCAAGTTGTCATCTCTAGAAATAAAAGGCAGTAGAAGATAAAACTTTGCATTTATTATATTTTATTCAATTAAATTAGTAGGCTACTTATCTCTAGTTTACCAAGATGGCTAACCTTATAGTAGAGAAACCATCAAATCTTCCCATCACTAATTCATGACAATGGCATGAACTTAACTGACCATTTGTGAATCTCTTCTTCCTCTCTTCTCTGGCTACTTAATTTGAGTTAAATTAAATACAATTTGTTATACAGATCTCGCCCCTTGAGTTTTCAGAAACATTCATAGAAAATACGAGCCAAAATAGTCTTACTGGCATTTGAGCTCTGGTGGCGTAGTGCCTAAGGCATTTGACTGCTAACCAGAAGGCTGGAGGTTCAAACCCACCAGTCACTCCTTGGAAGGAAGATTGGGCAATCTGCTTCCATAGTGATACTGCCTCAGAAACCCAAGAAGGAGTCACTATGAGTTGGATCTGACTTGAAGGCAAGAAGACTGGCATTTGATCTAGATCTTGAATTCTGGTTGGAATTTCAGTATGTTTGAGGGCATATCAGGCAGAATACACCAATAATTGTCTTATTTCCTAGTATTAATATTGAAAATGCACCAACAAATAGCTTTAGAATGGAAAGATGTGGGAAGACAGACTATGATGGCTCCACTTAACCCCAATTTTCCCAAATTAAAAAGTTTTAATTTAGACATCAAGTTGGAAGGAGTCTTGACCATTTCCATTACCAACTCCAATATCATGACCAGGTGAGAGGTAAAAGAAAATTGAGTGTTTCTGGAGACAGAATTCTCAGGGAAGGCAACTTTGACCATTCTAAGCATGTGAGAGGGAGGAGAGAGAAGTGGATAAAAGGAAATCCAGAAACAAAGGTTACTTTTTATTTTTTGCCAGCATCACACAGGGAAAATGCAGTTTTAGCACCAAGACAAAAGTTAGGCTTAGTCTTCTACTGATTTCAAAAACAAAGGATGATTTTAGTCTCTTTTGCAAATAAATTAATCTACAATCGTGGTACTTGGAAAGCATATTATTATTGATATAGAAAGATACTCATCTATAAACTATTCTTCTCTTTGTGCATAAGCAATTTTCAACAATATAAGCCTTAGTTATGAATTTACTTGTTATATATCTTAGGCTATTAATTTCTGAAGAAAATAAAAATATGAGGGCATTTACACAGTCAATAATTTTAGGTATTGTTTTGAAGATAGATAATGCATTCTTCATAAAACTGAAGAAAGAAAATGACAGAGAATTGATTTTATAAGTTATGTAAATAGGAATAAATTTGATGTGAAAATGTATTTCTGTATCAAATATTAGTAATTTTCTCAAACTATGATCTTAGAGGCTTAAATTGAAGTAAACTTGAACTTAAAAAAAAAAAAAAATCAAACTTTTGTTGTATATTTTTCAAAGACGTATAATTTTGTTTCTTCCTCAGATGCCGGATCAGGATCTGGGGATGGAGGTAGGAGCTGCTTTTCTGTATCTATAAAGACTTCCGAGTGGACACTGTTGTGAATATTTACTTTCTTATTTTCTACTACAGTTATCTGAGATAATTTAACATTTTGCATTTTAAGAAAATAGAAAACATAAAAATAATATTGTCATTATTAAGTAAATGTATGTAGCATGCCAATTCTTTGGTATATTTTATCATCATACTTAAGAACTATCTCCATCTACTGTTCCTTATTCATTTGCTTATGAATGAATTTCGCAATGTCAAAATTTCATAACAGATGCTTTCAAATGTATTTGGCAGAACAAAGAATTCATGAAGAAATTTAAATATTATGTTTTGAAAATATATAAAAATATCTTAAATTACAAGATGGCAACATTAACACATACATAACTATCATGTAGACAAGGTCATAAGTATCAAATTTATAATTTGATTATTGTTATTTATTTATAAATTTATAATTTATAAATTATTATTATTTATACATTTATTAAAACAATGTAAAAAGATAAACAAAATTTAAGTCACTGAATATGTTATTTTTGCTCTTTGATTATCTCAATCTATAGTTATATTTTTACTAAAATTAAGTATAACTTCTCCTTATTTAGTTCTGTGTTTAAGATAAAATTTTATCATTTGACTTGGTGTACTTACTGCCAAATAGAGATTTTATTTCATGATTTGAACCTTCATTGTACATGTCCCAAAATGATTTTCCAAATGAAATCCAAAAAAAATTCATCATTAATTAACACAAAACAAGAAACAAGATGTAATTCCAACGAGAGTAGCAAAAAGAGAGAGAAAAAGAACCCACATAAACATTCTCATAAGTTCTTGCTTGAGTTGTGCTAAATAATTAAATGTAAGGTTCCAAGTTAATTTTTTATTTTAAATGAAAAATTTGCTAAAAAGTGAGTAGAAGAAGGCCTTAGTAAGGGAAATCAGATCTGGAATGCAAATCTGATCTAATTATCTTTCAGCACTTAAAGGATTTATCAAATTGCCTTATGTAATGAAAGGCTTAACTAGCAAATAAGCAATACCCAAAGAACACAGTAAGAGTAGCACATTAGAGCATAATTATTTTTATAAGGACTGAAAATGAACAACAGTCAAGATTGAGTACCATCAGAGTAGGAAATGGATTCCAATGTCAAAGGATGTTGGACAGTCATTTGATAGTAGGTCTTTCTTTAACTATTTCTAAGAAATTAACTTTTTTTCCTAGATGATTCTGTATTCCTAAAAATGTTTCCCTAGAATTTTATAAAGAGCTTAGAAGAACAAATAACATCTTAAGGAAAGAGAAAAAGAAAGAAAGGAAAATTTCTTTGAATGGATATTTTACCACTGGAAGATTCAGAAATTAATATTTTTTTCTTCAGTGTTTCTTTTGGAAGGAAATAGTTTTATACAAAATCCTGTATATTCATCAGCTCTTTACTTCTATGTGTAGACTACCTAATTTGGCAGATGTGTTGAATTTGATCTCTTCCACTCTTCACATGAGTATTAACTTCCCCATAGAGTTTCCCAGGAGCCCTGTGGTGCTGTGGGAAAGCACTCAGCTGCTAAGAGATGGGCAATTTGAACTCACCAACCAAGAAAGATGTGGCATTCTGTTTCCGTAAAGATTACAGGCTTGGAAACTCTATAGGGCAGTTCTACTCTGCCCTATACAATCACTATGAGTCAGAAGCAACTTGAAGGCAACAGGTTCTTTGTTTGTTTGTTATTTTCCTTAATCTTTACAGGAGCAGATCTTCAGGAAGCTGAAGGTGGGTTCAGACCAGTGACGTACTGGTTAGCAACTAAGCACATAACCATTATGCCATCAGGGCTCCTTGTGAATTTTCTAGTATTTTACAAACAGAACTAAGATAAACAAACCAGTCCGTACAGGATAGAATATTTTAATTGCTCTTTCTGTTGAAGCATTACCGTGCAATTTTTTTATACTTAAATCTACTATTACATCATACTTCATTTCTTCACTTTTATTTTTTTAATAAAAAGAGATGATCTGTGTTTCATATGTTCCGTCCTAGTTTTCATTTGTTCTGATTAACACATGTAAGTGGAAAGTAAAATCAAACTTACTCTTCCTTATTGCACTTTATATTCAAATCTTTGATTTATTGTATTTCAGGCGTACCTGGGAGAAATTGCGGATTTGGTTCCAGACCACCGCAATAAAGTGAATATCACAATAGATCAAGTCACATGATATTTTGGGTTTCCCAGTGCATGTAAAACTATTTTTACACTTTATGGTAGTCTATGAAGTGTGGAATATCATTATGGAAAAGTTCGAAATATTATGAGAGTTACCAGAATGTGACACAGAGACACAAAGTAAGCACATGCTGTTGGAAAAATGGAGCAGATAGACTTGCTCGATAGACTTGCTTGGTGCAGGGTTGCCAATCGTTCAATTTGTAAAAACAAAACAAAACACAGTACCTGCATTATCTGCAAAGCACAATAAAGTGACCTGCAAGAAAACAAAGAATACCTGTATTTTGTGCCTTGAATAAGGCTGATTTTTTTTTTCACCATTAATTTTAATCACAAGAATGTGAAGTTTATAACTTGCATTCCATGCAAGTAAGTGATGTATCAGTTAGAAACCACTTTCCTTTCCATATTTCCTTTCATTCTTCTTGTAGTGTGCGTGTGTGTCTATATTTGGAGCACACCCCCCAGCCATTCCTCACTGGGAAGGTCAGGCAATCGAGTTCCATAGCGATACCGCCTCTGAAACCCAAGGAGGGGTCGCTATGAGTCGGATCCTACTCGACAACAGTGCATAGTATTTGTGTTACATTTTTCTAGTCTATGTGTTACTTTGATCTAAAATGCTAATAATTGCAGTTTTCTGTAAATATTTTGTAAATATTACAAGATGTTAAAAAGCTTAATAACTAAAACCTGAAAGCCTCCTTTAGAGTGAAATATATAAGTTCTAGTCTCATAGCCATTGGATTGCACATAAATTATATTTGACCTGTCATTTGTACTATATAGAGGATAGATTTACCTCTGTATTCTGACTGAGTTCATATTATCAAGATATCAGAGTGGCCAGAGTAATATTTCTTTGAATTAACAGATAGTGATTGAATTAGCTGTCATTTTTTGGGTAATCTGATTCTAACTATGATTATTCTAAATTGTTGTTAGTTGTTATTATTTGCCATCGAGTTGGCCCCGACTCCTAGCGACCCCTTCTTGGGTTTCTGAGGCAGTTATCACTACGGAAGTAAGATTGCCCAACCTTCCTTCCGAGGAGTGGCTGGTGGGTTTGAACTGCCAGTCTCCTGGTTAGCAGTCAAGTGCCTTAGGCACTATGCTTCCAGAGCTCCTTATTCTAAATTATAGGATATATTTCCAATAATGTATATTTGGTTACTAATTAGGGTATCTTTATAAGCACTTTGGGTGGTTAATGTTTATTTTTTGAATTTCTTAATCCAGGAAAAGTTAATATCACTCTCAAGTTGAGTGTGTTGATCTCATTAGTGAAATGAACAAATTTACTTGCAAAACATTTAGTATGTGTGACTATCACATGATAGGAGCTCTGGTAGCATAGTGCCTAAGGCACTTGACTGCTAACCAGGAGGCTGGCGGTTCAAACTCACCAACCACTCCTTGGAAGGAAGGTTGGGCAATCTACTTCCATAGTGATACTGCCTTGGAAACCCAAGGAGGGGTCACTACGAGTCGGGGCCGACTCCACGGCACACAACAACAACAATCACATGATACCATTAAGCCTCCAAATCTAAAATAATTTTAAAATGCATCATTTTTACCTTTTTTCATATTGTTCTAGATTTTTTAATGAATGCATATTACATTAGCAATGAAGATTGGACCTGATTATTCTTAAAATAATTTAAGCTTAGTCTATATGTGAAAGAGTATGTCTGTCATTTACTGCATTTGAGGGAACATCTTTACTATAATATAAAAGGGATATAAAGTTTAAGTTAATTTTATATTAGCTAGTTTGTATACATTTTATACTATTTTATTTATACTATTTTATCAATAGTTAAAATCTTTAACTATTGATCTGTCTATGTAGATGAAACAATTCAAATAGCTAACTTTGTTTAGGTAAAACATGTTTGTTGTGTTGATAGCATTTTCTGCGAATGTGCATTCATTCATAAAGGTAATTTTAGAATAATAAGAAATAAACACTTCAAACAAATCTTAATCCTATTTCAGTGACTATATCTTCTTCATTTACTATTGAAGAAACTCACTAATATAAAGAATATTTCTGTATTATTAACTTTGAACATAAAATGTGCTATTTATTGAACTCTGTTTTCAAACAAGAGTGATTGGTTGGAAAGCCATTGTTGTTGTTGTTGTTGTTTGCCATCGAGTCGGCCCCGACTCATAGCGACCCCTCCTTGGGTTTCCAAGGCAGTATCACTACGGAAGTAGGATTGCCCAAACCTTCCTTCCGAGGAGTGGCTGGTGGGTTTGAACCGCCAGCCTTCGGGTGAGCAGTCAAGTACCTTAGGCACTATGCTACCCGAGCTCCTTGGAAAGCCATAGTTACATCAAATAGACTTATTTGGATGGACCCACTGTTGAATAGATATTTAGGATAAATTGTAATTAACTGTGACATGTGCTACAGGAAAGTAGTATGTGGACCAAATTCTAAAGAATCTCAGAAACTGGTTGAAAGAAAGGGGCTGGTGTTTCAAGTACTTATATACATGGTGATTTAATGTCATAAATAAGAAAACGGGTGTGTGTAGGAGGGATAATAACATCTTATCCACCCACAGACTTCCTTAAGCAACAAATACTGCAGTAAGAAGTATTAAAGGAGTCTCCTCTCAAAATCCACGGGTGTGTGGGTGGTTGAAGATAATTTTTAACCCCTACTTTTCTCCCAAAGTCAATCATGTAAAAAAAGCTATGAACATTTTCTGTTACACTCTTTTAAAGCTATTTTTAGA